AATAATTTGTTCTATATACATATAACAATAAAATCGTAAATAAATCAAATTGACTCGCTCCGGCAATCTAGTGTTAAGAAGCGTAATCTACATAAAATCCTCGCACTGATACGAACGCGTTAACTTTATGATATTTAAATATCGAACAAGTATGCAAATAGATTCGTGTCGAACTACTTTGAATAAAAAATGACTGCCATTTTAAATACACGGTACAACGACCGTGGGTTCCGGTCAATATCACAGCAAGTAGTACAACAGTTAACTTAGTCAGCCAGTAATCCTAGTCTGCACCTAAAAATATGAAAATAATAAGAGAAAAAAGAATTTAAATTCCTTTTAGCTTCTCAGCTTTTTCTAAAAGCTGTAAATTCAAATATATGAAATCCATGTACGATATTCGACGATACCTAGGACGATAACTATATCACGGATAAGATCGAGGTTAATCCAAGTTCTACTGCACTTCCGTTACAAAACTGATTCCGTAGATTCAATAATACAATACGTTTAGTCGTGCAAGTTAATACAAATAGCCAAGAACCATAACTGGTATAATCAATAGGAAAAGCATCGTTACATAACAATGATTACTTTTTTTTCAAATGCTTTTAGTTATCAGAGATAACTAAAATTAGGTCGTGTACGATCGAAATTCTCTTTTCGTTGTTCGTAATCTTTACCGATGACGGAAATTGATTCGAGTTCGTCGTAACAGTTATCCTCGAGAAAAACAGTTCCGGTTGCTCGTAACTGTGAGAAAATTGCTTATAACCGGACTGCTCGTTGAAACGTTAGCGGTTTTGATTTTTTAATTGATTGCAGAACCCAAAAATGGTTTAATTTAAACATTCTTTAATCTTACAGTATTTCCTGTAATACGAACATTGGAATTAACTACCCAGTCCGACACCAATTTTGCATTTTGATAATTAGACCGTGAATTTTATGCATTTGTGATAAAACTGAATATGCCAAACACTAAAACCATAAAGATATTAAAAGAAGCCCAGAAGCTATGCCTAAAAGAAGCCCACTAATTATCTTCCAAACAATACCTCCAAAAGAAGTTGTCGCGTTCTATTAATCCGAATAACTTTTCGGTTGAAATAATCGTCGCTCCTAAACAATTTTTTCACGAAATTCGCAACTGTTGAGTCTTCGAGTTCAAGGGGCCTATTGGAAAACAGTACGGCAAGGGGTTTGATAACATCGACTCGAATAAGAAACACGACGTTCGTTCTCGATCTTTCACGCGAAAATTCTTCAAATACCTGTTACCTTGTGCCGCCGCAAACATGCAACTAGATTATCGAGACACGTCGAAAATGCCCGTTTCCGTTTCTACCATAAATTTACTCCTCCGTTGCGTTCTTTTACGTCCACAGCGTCGTTTTGTACATCGCAGTAACAAAAAAGTACGAGGCGAACGCGAGTTATCGGAAGACAACAGAGCGCGGTCGATATTCTTACGCGCGAAGAAACTTTATCATTCCGATTGTGCTCTGTTCCTCGTTCTCGCGAGGGCGAAACTTACGCGGAACTAACTCACCCCGAGTATTCATGATCGAATATTCACCTGAACGAACCACCGAGACGAGCGCAAGACCGACGATTAGCACTGCGATCCTTCGTTGCATGCCGGAAGTTCTCAGCGAGCGGCGGGTACTCTTTCTCTCTCTCTCTCTCGCTCTTTCTTCCTCCTTCTCTCTGTCCTCTCTATCTATCTATCTCTCTCTCTCTCTCGTTCTCTCGCGAAGAAACTCGTCCTCGAGGAAACGGAAAGTACTGCGAACCGTGCGTTGCGTGACGGCAAGTAAAGCACTGGCTCCGGGAAGGGTTGTCGTCGAGTCGACAGCCTGATCGCGAGTAAGAGATTGCGAGATTCACCACTCGCCACGCCACTCCTCTCTCTCCTATTTTCTCCTCTCCGCTTCTCTCCTCTCCTCTCCTCTCCTCTCGAACCCACCCGGCACGGCGCCGCTCCGCGTCGCGACGCGCAAGACGCGTAGATTCCGGGTGCTCTGCGTGAATCTCCGCGAGTCAAAGCGTTGGGCGTGAATCACCGTGACGCACTCACCCCGGCCACCCCCGTTTCGCCCCCTGCGACCCCTGCTAGAACCCTATGCATATGCACGTATAGCGTGTTTATGTTTACGTTTACGTGGATCGTAACAGGTGGCACGATCCGGGCCGCGTAGGGGTTCCTCGCGACACGCAACACCGGAAATTAGGCGAATTTGTCTACGTACTTCGTTAGGTTAAACGGTAAGTCGATCCGGGATTGTTTCAGAGAGAACATAGTATTTTGACGCGTAGAACGCGTCGCGCTCGAACACTATACTATTTGTTCGTCGTCTGTTTCGTATAAATTACGTGGCACGGGCATCGTGTCAACCATTGTGCAAAATAATCTAAGCTAGTCTCTAAAATAATTGTAACAGCTTGAGAATACGAAATAATTTCTTTTTCGTAACAATAACACTTATTCGCGCAATACATGTTCAATCAAAAAAGTTGCCGCATTATTCGCGTCTCGTTTAACAATCGAACGATTTTGAGAAAACTGAATATTTTATGGACTTATATTATTATCATATATATGGAATATTACATTTTATAAGTTATGAAAAATATCGATCTTAATATTTCGTCGTAGATCCGTTTTGTTTAACGCTAGCTTTACGGAGCACAAAAAACGGCTGATTTATAATAGTTTATAAAAGAAATAATAAGACATTTAGTCTGATTTTTAACAAGTGTTATTACAATAACAATTGCAAGCAAATGTTACAACATTTGCCGTAAGTAACATGTAAATTGAATGAAACAATTTATAAATGTATTTTTACGATATGAATGAACGTAAATATTAAAAAATTAGTGACCCGCCATTTTGACGGGTTCCGTGAATCTAGTGTCAATAACACCGTTTAACCGTTCTGACATATTGTTGATCATTTTCTTCCAATATTCCGAATAAGCGGAATCTCATTCTCCTTCGAGTCGCGTTTTTTACGATAAATAGAAACGGCAACTAGTGAACAGGCCAGCCAAGGCCTGTTGAATAGCACACGTACCCACAGCCAAATTGAAATTGAAACCCCACTTTTTTCCCTACGGATGCTGCAAAATATTTTATTTCGCGTTTTTTGTGGCACATTTTTTTGAGGCTTCGCAGTGACATTGAAGCTTCCTCTTTCGCCCCGGTTGAATAGCGAGGTTCGACTGCTACGTATATTTCCCCGCGAATGCATTCGGAGTAATAATATATACCAATGAATCCGCCAGGTCACAAGAACTGTTTGCATAATTTCTAACGTATTCACTTGTTGCGTCACGTAAAAGTATGTCCTACGACCGACGATGTCGTCTATTTCACTGATCTGATCGATTCCCCCACTCTTCGTAATACGTAGAAAATAATTTCCGAATCGGCAGTTGTTCCATTTGAAATTCACGCGAAATTCTTTAACCAACCGAAGCTACACAAATCATTGCGATAACACCCAGGCTAACTAGAACAGCATCCTTGACGAGATCTGCACATAAATCTGCGTAGATCCAAATCTGCGACTAAAAACAGCATTCTTTAAATTTCCGTTATAAGCTCAGATAAAAAAAGAAGTTGAAGGAACATCGTTTCTTACTTTTTAATTATTTTTAATTTATTTACCAAGAGTGCAATCTCTGAAAACATCTTTTCAGCCATTATCTAGTAAAATAATTCCTCTAACGTCTCAACGAAGTTTAGAACGCTTGACTCAAACATTAAAAACGTTATTCCGTTTCAAAAGGTGTTCGAATACTTTCGTGTCACGGTGTACGTAACAACAATTATTATCTTTTCAAATTTTTAAGAACAAGTAGACCATTTCTAGAATCCTTGAACTATCGATACATTTGTTATAAATTCGGACACAATATTATGCAAACACAAAACAAATCAATCAGTTTATAATAAACATTAATTTTTCAATTATACATCGGATCGTTCAATCTGTAAACATTTTTCAATAATTTTTTCAGAACAATCCACGCTTTTTCAAGTAGAAGCACAAACATTATTTTTCCTTTGCATGTTATAAGCAATATCGTTGTGCAATGGCGTGACCTTTAAATAACCTTGGAATCTACACTTCAAAATCTAATTTTTAATCTAAATATTTGCATGCCAATCGTTGCAACAAAATGTTGAAAATATGTAAAGGTATATATAAAACGTTTAAGTTACTTAAAAACTTGATTTGATTAAGATCTAAAATTTCGGGAACAACATTTGTACCGTCGCAGACAGCGGAAATAATTAGGTTGGTCGTTCCATGCGTGACGCTCTGTACAAGAAACCCAACTATAATAATTGTATTTACGTTTGAGAATCCTTGGCAGACACGGTGTTTTCCAAAACTATTCTACAATTTACGCTGCGTCGGCGTTTCGTACGTTTATTTCTTCAGTTCAACAGTTCGAAGATTCATTGAATGACGTTGAATTCCGCTTCGGTTTACCCGAGACTATGTGACCTCTTTCTTCCGTGTATGTAACTGAAGTTTTTACTTCCGTTCCTGGAAGCGGTTCCCTCCCACACCACCGCGAGAATCCGCGGAATTTCTGAAAACATCGGGAATATATCGCGCGAGGCACGATTATTGGTCGTTTGGATTGTTTCGTTAACTGCGACACACGCGTTTATCTTTGCCCAGATCCAGTCTCCCGGAAAATCAATATATTTTGATAAAGAAACTGCAATAAAGAAGAAGGATGAATACGGGAGACGTCCGACGCCGTGGCGCCCATCCAGGACGCCAACGACGCCGTCTAGCTGTTCCCACAGTTTTCGGTTTAGCAATTACTAAGAGAATCTACCACAGTATCCTTCACCTATTCGCGGTTATGTTCCCAATTTCGATCTATTTTACTGCGCTTTTTCACGTACTTTAGATTTAGTTTAGTCCCGTTAAAATCCATTCGACTAATTGTCGTCCCTTCGCGCTCGATAAACCTGCACACATTAACATTAATATCTGACAAGGTCATTCACCCTCCAATTCATTATTATTTGTCAATGCTTCATTCAAATCTGGTTAACTGATTGTTAACGAAGAGTTTGATCAACAGATTGTTCATGAAAAATTTGATCAACAAACTGTTAATGAAAAATTTGATCAGCAGACTGTTAAGGAAAAATTTGTGCGTACATTAACATTAATATCTGACAAGGTCATTCACCCTCCAATTCATTACTATTTGTCAATGCTTAATTCAAATCTGGTTAACTGATTGTTAACGAAGAGTTTGATCAACAGATTGTTCATGAAAGATTTTATCAACAAACTGTTAATGAAAAATTTGATCAGCAGACTGTTAATGAAAAATTTGATCAGAATTTTTTATTCCAAATCTTTCCAAATCGATTTTATTACAAATATTGCCGATTATCATGGAAACACGTAACATTTACGTACCGTAACGTTAATTTTTGTCGAAACCTCGCTACGATTACTTTCTTCGATCGATTCAGCTGTTCCTTTCTTCATCGTGCACAAATTGTTTCGAACAACGCTTTGCAAGATAAACGAACTTTTCTACAGCGACGCGCATTTCTATGATCTTCGCATAAATCATTCGCGATTTTTATCGTAAGAAATGAATCTGTCGGGCTTCCGGTCACAGCTCCATATAAGTCGACTTACCGTATAACTCATTTCATAACTCTACGTCACTTAGGGAGTTTTTCACGTAGCGGGGCTATTTGTCGTTTGTCTCGGAGGTTGCAGACTTTTTGCGAACTGCAGCATTGTGTGCGTATCCGTTACACTTTGCACAAAGAATTTTTAGTCGTGTCGCATTTAAATATTGTCGTGCTGGGTAATTCATGTGCATAAAGAACGATTGTTTCTGATATTTTCAGTTCGAACAACAAAGTGAGAACAAGAGAAAGAAAGGAAATAATTTGTTTGATGCGGCAAGTATGTGCAATGGAATTTTAAATTAACAATAAGCTGACAACAGTTACAATTTATTTATATTGATAATATTTATTGTATATACATGTATGATATAATATATGTAATATATGTTGTCAGTATAAATAAATATATATAAATAAATATGAAAATATATATAAATATATAAATAAATATGAAAAAATATATAAACATATATATGATATAATATATATAATATATACTATCAATATAAATAAATTGTCACTGTTGTCAGCTCATTGTTAGTTTCAAATTCCATTCTACATATTTGTCACAACGAACAAATATATATATAAACAGTTATCCATTATTGGACAATTGTCCATCGAATTATTTTTTATTTCATAAAGGAAAAAATTATCAACTGTTTTTACGTGTTCGTGCTTCACTTCGCACACATCCCTCGAAAGTCCGAGGGCGAAGGAAGCATTGTTACACGCTAATAAATCTTCCCCGCAGAAGAATCAGCGTTACGGCATCCATTATCGTAGTATCGGGTCATCCCTAGATGGGGTTGAGAAATCCTGTAATGCACATAACGACCTTGGCATATGTACAAACCCGTTCCTATATCGCGTATACAGCATGAAAGACCAAAAATCCACCGAACAACGGCAACGCATGGATCCACCTGTGGGTAAAACGCCGTCGGATTTGCTTTTTCAATGCTGCACGATTTGTTTGAACAAAAATTCGTGCATAGTCGCCCAATGGAAACCCGAGATATTACACGTTCGTATCTGCGCCAGGTGGGCTCCAATTTATTGGATCCGTCAAAAATGATACATGAATCGTGCAGTTACTGCAACACAACAATGAAACTCGCCCGTGGGAGTTGCTCGCTGGCTTCGACAATCGTCGATACCGATTGTTGGCCGTCGAACTAATTTCACGAATAAAACCGTGCGCGGACATTGTTTGAA